GAGAATCCGGGCGCTCCGAGCCAAAACCCGTAGCAAGCTCCAGCTGGGGACGCCCCCAAAGGAAGAAGAGGTGCCCAACCCTCTGCCCGCCGAGGTGATGCTCCTGTACAATAGCACGCAGGAGCTGGTGCGGGAGCCGGCAGCCTGCGGGGGACAGCGCGCGGCCTGCAACGAGGAAGAGGACTATTATGCCAAAGAAGTGCAGCGAGTGGACATGTTGACCCTTGGGCATGCTGACAGTAAGGGGGGGCTTGAAAAGGGTGGGGTGGGGTGGGGTGGCTGGAACGGCCCAAGGGGAGGAGAAATGGGGAGCATCTTGGAAGGAAGATGCTAGAGAAGACAGAGGTAGAATGATGGGGATCAGGGACTGGCTTCGCGGGATGGAGGGTGGTGGAAATGGAGCCTCCACAGCCAGGAGCAGTATACCAGGCGAGGGGGCAAACAGGAGGAAGAGAGGAGCAATTGCTTTGCTACGCTTTCTGGAGAATCAGGCTGGGCCACAGTGGGAAACAGGATCTTGGATCAGAGCGGCATGTACAATTATGATGACATTATTTTATTATTATTAGGGCTGGGGCTTGTTTTATTTATTTATTTATATAGATTATTTTTCCTTCCTGTATTTTCTTTTGTTAACACCATTTCTTTTTCTTTCATTGCCTATTACCTTTGGACCAGTTGCTCTTTCCCGGCCCAGCCTACCTCACAGGGTTGTTGTGGTTGGGGAAAATAGAGGGAGGGAGCCTTGCATATGGTGCTTTGAACTCCTGAGTTTGGGTGTGTTTTATCACCTTACTATTCTTTATTTTCTGGGTTCTTTATTATTTTTGCTGATGATATTATGGATATTTGCACTATTATTATTATTATTATTATTATTATTATTACTATTATTTCTGTGGTTGTTGTTGTTCGCATACTGTCTTCTGAGCCACAATGTCCTTTCTGGGGTGCCTGATTACCCTCTTGTTCCCTTACCCCACAGACTCCATCTCCAGTCCCTTGTCCTCCCCATTCTTCCGTTTCCTGTGCTTCAATGTCTCCGCTGCTCACCCCAACCTCAGCAGCCTTATCCAGGCTGAGCTACGGATTTACAAGGTCCCAAATCCAGGGGCCCAAGCCACCGAGCAGCGTGTGGAGCTCTATCAGGTTAGGACCCATTTGTACCCTGTGGCCACTAATTTGCGCGTCGATGCTTAATTTAAGAGAATGCCAAGTGTAATGGTATGGTCAGATAAGAGACGGCTTAGCCCACAGCTGCGTAATGGGCGGAGAAAGAGGCTCAGAAGGGACCCTCCCTAGGCTGTAAAGGAGACAGCAGGAGATTTGAACTTTCAGACTTGCAAGATTCTGTCAATGTAGTTTTACAATAAAGTAGAACTAGCTCATCTGGTCGTGTTTCCCGTCTCGTCTACTTAGTAAGGCTGACACCAAGAGAGACGCCAGGAGGGCAACAAAGCTTTAAAGAAAGTTTATGAAGAAATTGTCCCCAAATATACTCACAGCGCCAGGGGTCCTGCCTCAATCTGCCGGGGGTGCCCAAGTGGCAAGGACGGTCTCCCGAATCCAACCGTTTCGGTTGCTTTCGTTTGGCCAATTTTGTAGCCCCGCCTCCCCTCTTTCCCCTCCGCCCCCAGAGTTGCTCAATTTAGGCCTCCTCAAAGGAAGGTTCGGTATTCGCGAGGATGATAAAAGGGGAATAATTTTCTCATTCAGGTTATAGCTGGACGTTTGCTATCTCACAGCTCCTGAGGATAAATAGGAATTGCTGAGTTGTCTAAGCCTCCATTTTTCCAGGTGTTAATTGAAAATGCAGACCGATCGCAGGATATACCCCATCAACCCGAAGGGCCAGTGAACCCCCACTTTGGTCAATTGTCCTTCTGGGAGCATTTTTGTCATAGCTGGACCCATGTTCCACCTCTGATTGCTGCAAAGGTCTTCTCTGCTTCTAGCCATTCCCTTGCCTCGACTTTCTTTTATTTATGTATTTTATTTATTCAATGTATATAGCCGCCCATCTCTGGTCTGACTCTGGGTGGCTGACAACAAGAAAAACAGTCAACACTTAAAACAGCACAAAACATTAAATATAAATATAAATACAGCCAAGAGGTCTTTAAAAACCGTCGGTTTTCACGACCATGAAACGGGGCCCTTCACACGCTCTCTCCCCCCCCTTTTTTTTAAAAAAAATCATTTTTATTAAGAATTTTTCACAAAGACACAGCCGAAGAAAAAGAAAGGAAAAAAGAAAAGGAACGGAGAGAAAAAAGGAAAGAAAACGCAAGGAACAAAAATAAGGACGATGAGTAAAGAAACAGAAGTCCAGAAATAAATGACTTCCGAACTTCTTTTCGACGGATCTGAACAGGTTCATGATCCCTTCTCCCTTTAGATATTACAGAGATCCCTTCAAACCCGTTTTTAATCCTCCTCTTTTTCAGTCACCAAATCCGTCAATTCTCTCAACTTTCTCTCGAGAGATGGCATTGCGCCACAAGCAGGCCCAGTTTGCGCCAGTTCAGTTTCCAGGTTTCTGGCATCTCCAGGATGGAGAAGGATCCCAGTTTAGCCCTGCATTTCCTCTGGTTTTCACCTGTTGGGAAACTGGGCTAGGGGTTTCAAATAAAAAGACCCAACCCTCCTCCCTAGGTGATGCCGGTGAGGGATCCTTCTGCCCCAGCCCAGCGTTACGTGGGAAGCCGAACTTTACTGCCCAGGCGCCGGGCCGAGTGGGTGTCGTTTGACGTCACCGAGAGCGTCAGCCAAGGGCTGGGGGACGGAGGTAAGAGGACGTTGCTGTGCAGGCCGACGGGAACAACGATAGCAAGAATTCTCAAAAGGATTGGCATCGGGGAACGACGCACCGTTGCACAAAGGAAGTGTTCAGTTTAGCAGCTTAGGAATAATAGTCCTCGGGTTAAGAACGCCCAGTTTATGGACGACCCATAGTTATGAACAGAGTCTACTGTAGCAAAATTCAGGTTAAATACACAAGGATTCGAGTTAAATACACAATGGTTCGAGTTCATTGCATGTATCTACTTATACCAATGTTTCTCAACCTTGGCAGCTTGAAGATGCGTGGACTTCAGGGGCTGGGGAATTCTGGGAGTTGAAGTCCACGCATCTTCAAGTTGCCAAGGTTGAGAAACACTGCTCTAGAGGCCAAGGGATGGGCATCAAAGACCCTGGGGGCGGGGGAGAGAAACGCGGAGGACCGTCCCTCCCCTGAGATTGCATGAACGCAGCATGGTATCGAAAAGTCAAAATGAGTCGGGGTCCCGTCCCCTTTCCCCCATTCTCTGCATCCCAAATTCCTGGAGCCATTGAATGACTTCTGACAATGTATTAAGGTGCATTGGATCAGGACCCAGCCCGATGTTTCTCAACCTTGGCCCCTTTAAGACGATTGCAGAATTGCAGAGAGTTTTCTCTCATAACTCCTGCCGTATTCTCTTTCCCCCCCCCACCCCCCAGGAAGAAACCTCAGCTTCAAACTGGGGTTGCACTGCCCCTGTTGTACTTCCATCCCAGCCAGGAACACGATTCACTCCCAGCACAGCGAGCCATTGGAAGTCCGCTTTGCAGGTAAGTATATTGCTGGCATTGATTATTCCATTGCTTACTTCATTGAAGGATATCCCACCTTTCTTCGAGGGGCTGAAGGCGGTATACGTAGCTGTAATGGTATATGGGAAAGACCTATTTAGGCAAAGAGACGCATGAACGGTGATTGATAGCAGCCTCGTGGGGTAGGAATCACCACCAGATGAGCTAATATTGTAAATGCACATTGACAGAATCTTGCAAGTCTGAAAGTACAATTTCCCCATCTCCTTTACAGCCTGAGAAACTAGGGAGGGTCCCTTCTGAGTTTCTTTCTCCGCCCCTTATGCAGCTGTGGGCTATGCTCCCTCTTATCTGACTATTCCCTCACCAGCGTCTCTTCGCCCAGTCTCCCAAAGTCTTTCCCACATACCATTTCAGTAGCTCTCTTTCCTTATCCTGTATTTTCCCTACAAAGACAACCCTGTTAGACCCACACCTTCACCACTAGACCACCCTGGCTGTGGATTAGTGGAGCCATCTGTGAATTTTTCAACCTCTTCCTGGAACCACAAAGTTCAGAGTGTTTTCTGCCCACTCACAGGTCTTGATGACGACCTCATCAAGGAGGCGTGGAAAGGGTGGTCCAGAGCCCCGGACCTCACTAACAAAGCCCCCCACCTGATCCTCACCCTGATGCCCCCAAACCAGCTGGACCCTGCCCTGAAGGGCCGGCATCGCAGGGCAGCCAACGCTGCCAGCTGTCCCAGGTGAGAGACGTCGGTTTTTCAAAAAGACCTCCAGAGCGGTGGGCTCTGAACTTGCTCCTTGCATGCATCAGAAAGATTTCACAAGCCTGCTGGGTTTGCAAAAACAGGAACTGGGCGTTCGTGTATTGTGAGAACACCAAAAGGGGAGTCGTTGACCCAGCCAGGTAACCCCAATGATTTAAATTGATTTGCAAACTCACGCGTCTTCCAAACACTGAACGGAGAAGGAGATTGTGGTATTGTGAGGCTTTGCACAGGATTTGGAAAGGCTTAAACCCTTCATTTGGGCTTCCAAAAGGGCCCCTCCGGGAAACTTCCAAGGTTAAAAGAGGCAGAGATCGGGCCACCCAAAATGATTCTCTCTCCTCTGACCCCAGCTCCGGAGGTAGACTGCCCCTGGCCATGGAGGCTTCATATGGATTTATTCCTTCACCCAAAACCCACGGGACAGCAGGCGTTTTTCTGAGAAAGTGGGTGGGGAGTGTGCATTTTCAAAATAGTGATTTTTGACACCGTTCGCCTGGTTGCCTGCGGCCAAAAATGCCAGGAATGCGATATGCTGGGTTGTACAAGGGAAACGTCTGTGTTTCCTGCCCGGAGGAACAGATGTAGATGTCAGTTGTGACAGCCGAAAGGTAATAGCAATAATATTTCTCTTTTTACCTTCTCCCCAAAGAAAAGAATGGTGTTTCCCCATTTTTCAGCCTGCATTTTCAACCTGTCCATCTAAACCATTTTAAACAGTCCAGATTTTACAAACAGGCCCCCAGAGGGACCCAAAGCCCAATGTACATAATCTGGGTACTAAATGAACCCATTTTCTGGGTTTGATGATGCTCTGAATAGAATCCAACCCCAGATCCCTGAATCGTACATTAACTAAACTTTGAATGTTGTGTGAATGGAGCTACTAGGGTTCCGGTTAAGTGTGTTATCTGAACCCAGCTAGGCTGATTTTTTTATTTTTAATCTGCAAAGAGTCATTGGGAGCCAAATTCCTTCTCGGAGTTCACTTTTGCAAACCTGTTTGCCATGCCTGGGTGTGCCAGCTCATAAAAAGGAAAATCAGACCTGGAGACAGTGTTTATATATTACGTATACCACTTTTTCTATTTTTATGCATTATGCATACCAATTTTTGGAGAGGGCGAGCTTAGCCAACAGGTGAAATTGACTCCATGTTTTTTCTGAGAAAGCAACTGGCCCCTTTTTCATGAAGAAATTCATCACGCCAGCTTTCCTTCCTGATTTTTGTTTCGGATTTAAAAAAAAAAAGTTTTTACTTGTCAGCGGCCCAGAGTTGTCAGGAATCAGAGTCAGCCTACAAATGTAATAATAAATGAATTACATTTGAAAAACCTACAACAGAGGGCAAAATAAATGCTGTTTCTTCCTCCTAGAAGCACCATGGAAGTGCTTGGGGTAGGGTGATCTTCCCTTATCATGACCAGCTTTTTTTTTGGAATAACCTTTTTAAAAAAGAACAATAAAAATTAACAAGAACGAATATGAAGAAAAAGAATTAGAAGAAGAGAAAAGAAATTGGAAAAAAGAAAATAGAAAATTCAAAAGTGCAGGGAAAAAAAGAGAGGAGAAAAGAATTGATTTCCGACCCTCCTTGCAACAGATATAAGTTGCAGTATACATCAAACTCTGGTTTTAAATTTACAATATAACACCCACAATTTCTATTAACCCATATTATTGCTAATCATCGAACCATGCATCATTTCATTTCTTTGTTTCTTGCAAAACGTCCCCAAAAGGTTTCCAGTTAGTATTAAAATTACACCACGTCTTATCTCGAATCCAAGCCCTCAATTTCGCCATCTATCACCAGCTTTGAGAATCAGGGAAATTGGTCTTGGATCCAGATGGATGGGGCTGGACTAATTTCTTTGCTAATCTAGGGAACCAGGCCCAGGGGCTCAGCCACATATCCTGGCGGCTTTTGTTCTCAGACGTGGCCCCGTTTTGTGGCTGCGAGTTCCGCTGATTAACGCCGTGGGACTTCACTCCTGAGATTTCTTCCCTTCTGGCTTCGCTGCAGGAACACAGATCAGGACTGCTGCGTTCACTCACTGTACATCGATTTCCGTAAGGATCTGAAGTGGAAGTGGATTCATCAGCCGAAAGGCTACAAAGCCAATTTCTGCGCCGGGAGCTGCCGATATAGCCAGAGTACCAATACGCATTATAATATGGTGAGAATCAGCCTGCAGGCGTAGCCTTGTAATGCCCAGTGAGACAACAGAAACAGAGAGAGAAGCAATCATCCGATTCACAGGCTTGTTTCATTCCTGTTCAACCCAGAGGTGTTTTAAAGGATCTTTTAAAAGCAGGGCTTTTTAAAGGAGCAGGGGTTTCCAATGAGACTTTTAAAGCAAGGGGTTTCAAACTTTTTCAGGCTGTGGAATCTGTTAGTTTAAAAAAAAAATTATTCCCAGAGCTTCTGATTAAGAGGCAAAGCTCTAGCAATAGAGAAGGGGTTGCGTTCAAGCCCATTTATTTTTCTTTTTGCCCTTAAACCAGTGTTTCTCAACCTTGGCCACTTTAAGATGGGAAAGACTTCAACTCCCAGAATTCCCCAGCCAGCTTAAAGTGGCCAAGGTTGAGAAACATTGCTTTAGACCGAGGCAGAACTCAGTTTGCAAACTCCTATTTGAAAGGAAGGGGAGAACGTTGATGTATTTTTCAGGAAGACTTTTTAAATAAGGGTTTTAAAGGGGCTTTAAATTAAATGGTGAGCTGTTTGGCCAGCTGCTGGAATTGGGGGGGGGCAGGTAATTTGGTGCATGACTTTTTTCTTCCCTCCTTCTGCCCCCCCTTCTGCAGGTACTCCCCTTGTACAACAAGCTGAACCCCGAAGCTTCGGTGGCGCCTTGCTGCGTCCCGCGCAAACTGGAACCTTTGACCATCCTGTACTACGTCGGCCGTCAGCCCAAAGTTCAGCAGCTGAGCAATATGGTTGTGAAATCCTGCCGTTGCCGTTGAAATGGGGGGGGGAGAATTCACAAGGACCCCCTTCCCGCTATGGTCAGGAGAAGCGACTTAACAAGAGCCCCCTTTCCTCTCCCAGCCTTCAAACAAAGAGGATTTTTTTCTTACGGCTCCTAATCTCCCTGGGAGGAAGATCCAGAAAGTATCTGGTCCTCATTCCCAAGAGAAATTCCTCTTTTGTTATCGCACGTGGGCCACGTGGCTGGAGAATGGCTACCCAGGGGCGTGAGAACGGCTCTCTGCACATGATCAGAGGCATTCTTCCCTTTTCGGCCCTTCCTATGCAGCTCTGGCACATGGATTCTGCGCAAGGTTTGCCCCAGGGTGGAGCAAGCGTTCCCTAAAAGCGATCTACCAGGAATGGGGTGAGGGGGGGCGGCTAGATTCTTCTTGGAGAAAATCTCAAAGCAACTGTTGAGACCTGCTTCCTTCCTGCTCCACCATGCGAAAACAAAAACCGGGTGAAGGATTGGCCTGGAGAGAACAAGGGCTAAATGCTGCGATGCAAAAAAAAATCAGGCCGCCAATCTAAGGACCGCTTGGTCGGGCACGGAGAACGTAGGGCAGAGAGAGAAAGGAGGCTGTGTGTTTAAGTGGGGCGTAAGGGGCAGCAGAGAGAGGAAGGCGGGCAGACAGGAGAAGCTTCAGGACTCAGATAAATATTTGATGGCGAGTTTTGCGGTTTTCAAGTCGAGCTGCAAACAAACGTGGCACACAGAGAGATGCCAAGCTCTGCCACACATTTGCTTGGCACCGACTGTCTAGGAAGTGGGGGGAGAAAGCCAGGGATGAGGAGGAACTCAGCCATGGAGCAAACAGGGAGCTGCTAAATCCCCCGGCGACCTGACCTTTATTTCTTCGACTGAGCGAAGAGATCTGAGAGCAACCGAAATTTAGCAGATGGGGTTTTGCCTGTCCTAAGTTTTTCAAGCACTGGGGGGTAGAGCGAGACGGGGCTCTTTCGGCCACGGGTGCAAGATTTACCCAGCTAGGGAGCTAAATTGATTGCTGGCTGGGAGAGGAAGCAACCGCAGAGTTCAGGAATCGGACACGTTGTTTGCATCTAGTTTGCAAACTCTCCTGCTATGCTGGGAAAACTGGAGGCTGTTTTTCAAGAAGTGGAGCCCGCCAGTTCCTGGGGCACACCAAACTAGTTGCAATTTTCTCTCTGGATGTCATCCCGGCGATGTCGGATTCCTACTGGAGGGCGCCCCGGAGACCCAGCTCTGCCAGCGGAAGCCAAAACTGGAGAGAATCCTTTTTCCTCCTTCTGACACGCTTCCCTCCCCCTGCCCCCTGCAAAAAAAGACCTCCAAAACAGATCTTTTGCAGAAAGATTTTAAAAGGCGTTCGAGATCAGCCCCCGTTCTGCTCCACAAGGCCAGCGTGGACTTCTGGTTTTCTGCCACGGCGTCAGAATCCACTTCCGTGGCTCCCAAAGAAGGCGTAAAACTTTGAGACTTTATTGGCCAAATTTTTTTTTAAAAAGGAACGGGGTGCAATTTAAGAAACCTATCTATCGACTCATGGCCTTCCCAGTTCTTGGGGTTGCAGGGTCGAGGGGGGGCTCCCCAAGAGGGACGGAGAAATGGAGGGACCCTCCTGGCTCTGCCTTTGGCACTCAGATGATTCCTCTTCCTTGCAGCTGGAGATGAAGCTTGTTGACATGACTTTCCATCTGTTCGGTGAGCGGGTGATGCACTCCTAGTTTTTTCTGGTAATCTGGGTTGGGTTGGGAAGGAGAGGAAAACGAGATCGGGTTACAAGCATCGTCCTGCAGAAGACGGGGCACCGGGGGAATGGGGCTGTACCCACGGGCTCAAATTCCGAGACGTGCACTTCTTTCGGCTCCCCGCGTCAAGAGATCTGGCGTCCTGCCTGGTCCTTTTGCTGCTCCCTGCTTTGCAGTTCATTCTCCCCTCCCTCCCCAGGCCTTTCTGTTTTTACGTGACCTTTTTAAGAAGTTGGATGCACGGCGGAGCACGGCTGCAACGTCGCCAACTTTCAGCCTCGTTCAGCCACCGTTCGCAGTTACAACGGTGACGAAAAAGTAACTTTGCGACCAGTCCTCGCATTTATGACCAGCAAAGTTTCCTAAGCAGGAGCTGCACCAGACCCCCGCTGTATCAGCCGCTCACTAGGCGCACAATAAATAAGGTGGTGCAATGGCCGTCATGCTTAACGACCCTTCTTAACGGCAGAACCTCTTTTCAGCAATCAACAGCATGCAGTTACAACCTCGGCTTGCGGTAGCCATTCTTTCTGAGAACATGCGTGGGCTTCCTCGGTTCTTTTCTTTCATTCCTGCACGTTTTACAGCTCGTCCTTGTTTAGCGACCGCCTCGTTCAGCCACCGTTCGCAGTTACGACGGTGACGAAAAAGTAACTTTGCGACCAGTCCTCGCATTTACAACCTTCGCAGGTCTGTCAAGCCAAGGAAAGCTGAAAGAAGATGGCAAGCCAGTTGCGGTTTCGCTTAGCAGCTGCTTTGCATAACAACCGAGTCGCTGGTCCTGATTGTGGTCGCTAAATGAGGATGATCTGTATATAGTTTTCTTTCTCAAAAACATCAATCCCTGACCATCACTCCTCTGGGAAAGCAGAGATGAGGATCCCCCTACACTCTATCCTCCCCAGCATAAGCTGTCAGATTGCGATTCAATTTCACATGTCAGTTTCAAAGTTCTAGTCAGTTTCACTGTGGCTATAGAACATTCCTCCATAGGAGCTTTGTGGCTGATAAAAACAACACACATCTTCCCCTAGAACATGTAAAACTGTTTGCACTTGCCAAGCTTCTAACAACAAGGTGAAAACCAGAGAGGAGGATTCATGATGAGTTTCTTCATGTCAGGAAGGTAAAGGATTAATATACAATATTTTGGAAAGTGAATACACCAAACCTCTAGCTCTCATTTATAAGTGAATTCATTAAGGTTGGGGATGCTGAGCGGACTGAATCTTTTTTTCCCAGAATGTGAGACCAAAGGGCTAACTCTGAAATATCCATCTGCTTGTCGTTATTAACATTTTGAGATACTCCTGTTTGTTTCTTGGACCCAGGATGAGCCCCAGATCTCCCCTACGGTGCTGCAACTTTGCAACCCGCTGTATTTAGTACTTCCAAGAAGCGTAGTCAGTTGAAAGATCCACTGAAAAACCAATCTGAGAAAAAAAAAAACACTTTTCAAGGGGAAAGTGTGTCTTTGCAATGTGTCATGGGTTTGGTGAGGGAGGCCAGGAACGCATGGAGAGAACACATGGCCCATGTTGCTCTGCTCCCATAAAGCCTCCAAGGTGGCCCACGCAGGGTTGTGGGTAAGATACCATTCAGAGCAAGCCCAGCGTGATGTTTGTTTGTTAACACAGACATGGGCTTCCCGTTTTGCAATTCCCTTTAATTATTAGTTAATCTCCGGCCTTTGGCTGTAATAAAGTTTCATTCATTCATTTAGTTACTCACCGAGCAGCGTGGCCTTTAAGATAGCCAACACTTCTTCCTCCATCACTTCTTGGAGAGGTAGGGGCATCTGAGAGTTGGGAATATGAAGTATTAAGGGAGGGGAGTCAAAAAAGTCAAGATGGGCGCCGTGACCATTGGATCAAAGCCATCTTGACTTTTTTGACCCCTCTCCCTCTGCAGACACCCTTAGTGAGCGCAGTCATGCAACCCAAGATCGACAACCTTTTCAGCTCGAGGGAGCCTCTCCCAAACGTTGGCTCTGAATCGTGCAAGATTGCTAAATATCAGATCTTCGGTTATGTTTCATTTCCCATTTCATTTGGGAGAATCGCAATTCTCTTTTTCTGTGCGTGATGGGCACTGTAGTGTTTCCCAGCGGCCATATTGCACAATTAGCAAAACCAACGATTGCCTTTAAAAAAAAATTAAAGCCTCCGTGTTCCTGCTGAATCCAGAGCTTACAAGGACCTAACTGTGCTACTGATCAAATAAAATTGGCAGAGAAGGAACCAGAGAGTGGAGGATGAAAACTCTATGGTTTGGAGGACCATCTCGACTGAATGTCTGGAAACATCACCAAGCAGAGATCCAGGTGATATTCCAACTGGTGCAGAGCAACTGAAAGCAGGTGGTGGATCAGGATAAAACCAACGACTTACATCCACTTTGGAGTCCCGCTCGTGTTTTGCGAATCTCTGCTTGTATGTTTTCTCCTAGGAAGAAAGAAAAGGAATGAAGAAAGGTTAGTTTTGCATTTGGAGAAATTCTCCCTGATACACCCAGATCTACCGCCTCCCTGGCTTGCTAAATCCACCACTTTTCCTCTTAAAGATCACTATGGATTCACGACGCTCATGTAACCTTTTCGAAGCACCCAATAGCCCAAACTCTCTGGGCATTTAAAATAAACCCTCCCCAAAAGAAATAACACCATTTGAGTCAAAACACAGTGAACCTATCAAATAAAACACCAAATGAAGATGCAAGACAGACAAGGCTACAGCTAGACAGGGTTTCTCAACCTTAGCAAACTTTCTGAGTGTGGTGGGGGATTCTCACACCACCACAACACTCCCCCCCTCCTCTCCCCGGCGTAGATGTGGGGGTG